AAGCCAATCACAAGTGTTTCTATCTAGATTTAAATATATTTGTTTATGGGTATAGAATTAAGAATAGATAAGCATCTTCATATAATAGTAGTTAGTAAGTTCTACCATGGATCAGATACTAATAACCATAAAGAAAAAATTATTAATTTGAAAATCCCTCCACTCCTATGTTCAATAAAGTTGGATTTTTATGTCAAAAAATAAGATATATCCTAACACTCTGCAAGGCTAAGGCAAGAGGATCACAAGTTAAAGTCCAGTCCAGGGAACTTAGTGATTTAGCAATACCCTATCTCAAAATAATACAAAAGAGCTAGGTGTATAGTTCAGCGTGAAGGCCCTGGGGCCCTGGGGTCAATTAAATAAATAAATATTTTTTTTTCTTCATCCCTGGCTCCTAGCCAGAACTCCAAAAACTCTTGTAACTTCCTAAGTGATGAATGATAAGAATGATCAAGATACAAGGAGCAGCTTGTTATCCATAACAAGCCCTTGTCAATCACACCTGTATTTATGTCCAGGAGGTGAGTTTTAGACACCCTGTAAGGATGGAGGAGATAGTTGCTAAGAGAACCAATCATATGATTAGAGAGCTGGAATTTTCAGCTCTATCCTAGTCCCTACTACCTCCAAATTCTGGGGAGGAAAGGAGGATAGAGGTTGAACTTAGTCACTAGTGCTTATAGAAGTAGTCATACCTACATAATGCAGCCTGCATAAAAAAACCAAAAAGCCAAGGTTTGGAGAGCTTGTCTGTGCTGCTAAACTTGTGGGGGTACTGGAAGGGTGGTGTCCTAGCAAAGGGCATGGAAGTTCCACCCTTGCTCCATGCCTTGCCCTATGCATCTCTTGCACTTACTGTATCCTTTATAATAAAGTGGTTAACACACGTAAATATTTCCCTGAGTTTCCCATTCTAACAAATGATACAACCCAAGGAGAGGGTGGTTGGAATCCCCAATTTTAGCCCGCCAGTCAGAAGTTTGGGAGGTGTGCATGTAAGATTGACATCCGATCTTGTTGGGCTGAGTATTAACCTGTGGACTGTGATGCTAACTCTAGATAGATAGTGTTAGAATTGAATTAAATTGTAGAATACCCAGTTGGTGTCTCCAGAGAATTGAATTGCTTTGTGTGGAAATTCTATACATTTGTTGTCTGAAGTGTTGGGTGAGAGTAGAAAGAGAGGGGGAGAAAGTTTCCTATTGGATGGTAACAAAAAATGAACATGGTGTGTTCATTTCATACCAGCTAGAGGTGGTTACATCTTAGTGATGACTATCTTTCATGCCAAGTTATGGCTTTACATTGAGATGATTAAGCCAGATAATTGTATGCAGGGAGCAGAATACACTGATGCAATGTTACTTCATAGTTATAAATTACACATTGAACTTATCATTAACTGTACAGTATAATCTTTAGTTTTTCTTTCCAATTGATTTGCCACCTCTGTCACACAGTACATTAGATATCTATAACTCTGTAACAGATTACCCCAAAATGTAGTGACTTGAAACAACATTTGTTATCTTGGATTCATTTCTGGGTCAGAAATTCATGTGCAATACAGGAACATCCTTTGGTGCAGGGTCTTTCATGAGGCTGTGATGAAGCCTCTCGTCATCTCAAGTCTCCAGTGCGACCCAGCTTACTTGAGTGGCTGTTGGTGGCCTCAGCTACACACTGGCTACTGGCCAGAGACTCTAGGGCCTTGCCATGTGAGCCTCTACATAGGCTACTCACCACACAGCAACCTCTCTTCAGAGCCGGGCCTCCAAGGCGTATGAGTGAGAGTTAGAGGGAGAGGGTGAACAAGACAGAATCTACTCTCCCTTTTTGTAATCTAATTGTGGAAATGATATCCCATCATTCTGCAGTATTCTATTTGTTACACATAAGTCACCCAGGCCAGCCCACATCTAAGGAAAGGAAATAACTGAAATCATCTTAGAAGCTGCCAACCTCACAGCAATGCCATTTAAGGTACTGCTTCTCAAATTAATCTTGGCGAAGAACCAACTTTTTTCTTTAATTTCCAATTTATTATAGGTCAGTACATTTATAAAATAGAATAGAAATTCATTTCTAGAAAATAAAATAAAAGTATAGAAAACAAATCCATGGATCCTTACATTGGATCTCACAACAATGTCAAATTGCTACAAAAGTTTCTAAACATTCTCAATTTTATTATAGTCAACCTTCCATGTCTGCATTTGTGGATTCAACCAAGTGTGGACTGAAAGTATTTGAAAGAAATTGTGTCCATATGAACTTGTGCATACTTTTCTTGTCATTGGTCCCTAAACAATAAGCTATAACAACTATTTATATAGCACTGACATTGTACTGGGTATCATAAGTAATCTTGAGATGATTTAATGTATTTGGGAGAATGTACACTGATTATGTGCAAATACTACTTCATTTTACATAAGGGATTTAAGCATCTGCAGGTTTTTGCATCTGAGGAGGACCCTAGAACATGCTATAGATAACAAAGAACAACTACACCATCTGGATTAGAAAGTTTGCAAACCTTACCAATTTTAGACCATCCATTGAGTAGCACCAATATAAGGATTTTACAAATGCAGATGACTTTTTGAAGCTTTTACAAGACAGTGGTTTGTATGATTCACTTGGGTGTTCCTCGGTGGAGGGATTTTAGAAATAAATCTAAATAGAAATTTTCCCTTCTAATCTCATTCCACTCTATATACTTGCCTAGAAATGGGACCTTTTGTTATAATTAAGATCAAGGGTATGTAGGATTAATTATAGTCTCCAGTTTTTAATATTTTACTGTAGTCTTTTATGTCCTCTCCTTTCCACTAGTCCATAAATGACAGAGGCAAGATTCTTTTGAAGGGAGCAATGTGATAGATACTATAAATTCATATTTTAAAAGTATAAAAGATCAGCCCACTTCCCAACTAATGCTAGGAGGGAAGTTTGAATGCTGTTCTTGTTGCTAGTCTATTCAGATTCCCCGAAACAAATCTCAAGTATAACCTCCTCAATTTGATTGAAAAACGGACATTTTTTGAGCCTTAACTATGTGCAAGATTCTGCACTTGATCTTAGCCAAAAGGCCAAGAAGCGATTATGTGCAAGATTCTGGAAGGTACCAGTACAAGAAGGGACTGTCTCTGTTCTCACTTGGTTTATAGCACTTCCTCTGTAAACCCTGAATTCTTTACATGTCAATATATTGGCATTTGAGTACATCCTTTTTCCTGTTTCTAAGTTCTCACAAATTTATATCTATTCTCCTGAATACACCACAAACTTGCTGAACAAAAGTGCTCCCATTCCAGCAAGAACCTGAATGTGCCTTATTTACTATGCCAAGATCCAGAGTCCTCTGAGCAGGGACTAAGTGCTGTGGACTCGGCTTCTGTCCCAAATCTTGCCAAGTGAGCACCTCTCTTCATCCTCTTGACCTCTAGCTACCCATCCTCCAAGGCTTAAAATAGAGTCAACTTTAAGAACTCTGTTACTGCTCCTCGGGACCCCTTCTGAGCAAATCCAAAGCTCTTCCTACCACATTAGTCCCAGGAGAGAGAAGAGAAAACCAGGTGGAGGAAGGAGCCTTTAAAAAAAATGTCTTGCTCAACTTCTTACCCAGCTGCCAACCTTCAGTTGGGTATTCTTTTCCCGCCCCAGCCTAGGAACAGACTGAGGGTTAGTAAAAGCTACATTTCAGGACCTGGTGCTAAGGACTGTGCAGGCACAAAAGTGAACCAAACAGGTTTCTTGCCCTGAAGAATTTGCCATGGACAAATTAGACCAATCCTCAGGTACTGTAAAATACAAGATAGAGTGGGCCAAGGGTTGTGATGTTGGCAGATGGAGGAAGCACCGTGGCAGAACAGATGTGGGAGAGCAGATGGGGAGAGATTAATTCCAACCAGTGGAAATTCAGAGGATGTAGCTTTGGGGCTAAGCCTTGGAGGATGGGAAATAAAAACAACGGGAAACTGAAAGCACTACCCAGTGCCATGGTTGTTGGTTTACACACATCATTTCATCTACGCTCACAAAAGGTCTACTGAGGAACTGTTCGTCTCATTTTATACTGAGGAAACTGAGGCATGGAGAAAGTAAGCAATTTACTCAAGGTCCAATCTAGGAAACAGTGGAGGCTAGATTTGAACACATCCATGTGCCTGTAAAGCTAGTGCTCTGAACCTTCCCTTAAGAAACAAAGGCTGCCACGAGAGATGGTCTAGCAACCTGCAGAGCACACCTAGGGAACAGTGAAGAGTCTGAAGCTGTGCGTAGACATGGGGGTGTGGGTGAATAATATTGTTCAATTCCAATGGCAGCTTGGAATTTATACGTTAAATTCTGGATTTTACATCAATTTCATCTGATCTCACAACATCCCTGTTTAACAGGTGTTATTATTCCATTTTACAGATAAGGGAATTGAAGTAACTCGACCAGGATCACACAACTGGCTGGTGGTAGGCTGGGATCTACAGGGGTCAAGCTCCCAAGCCTACTCTTAACTCTTACTAGTGTGCCAGCCAAGAGTCCTCCCGCTAGAGTATACATTCTGTCATTTCCCACCAACCTACTCCCGTCCCAAGTTTTTAGCTAGGATTGCCCAGGTCTGCGCCCCAGGGATGCCAGGGGTTCCTACGTCCCCAGAAGAACTTCTGCTCCCAGAAAGCTTTGCGTTTGCAGCCTAAAGAGGCCCGGAGCCCGGGAGCCCCGCCCCGTGCGGCCCCACCCACGGCGCGGTCTGGGGGCGGGGGTAGAGGAGGGGGCGGGGTCAGGGGAGGGGACTAGGCGGGGAGAGGGCGTCGCCCGGGGGCGGGATCGGCGTGCAGGTGGCTCCTCCTCCGCCTCGCCCGAGCCCCTACTGCGCCAGGCTCGGAGCCCGCTGCCCGGGAGCGTCTTTGTGCCTGGCTCGAAGAGCCCGCGACGACCGCCGCACGCCCGGGGGCACCGTTGCGCCTTCCGCTCTCTCGGCGGCAGGTGCCGGGGCGCGGGGCCCGCACGTGCCACCGCAGCAGGAGCAGCGCTGGGACCTGCGGGCGCGACAGGGGCGGCCCCGGCTCTTGGCAGGAGATGAAGCTCCTGAAGTCGTGGGGGGCGACCGGCGGCGGCCTCCTGCACCTCACCGTCCTGCTGAGCTTGGCTGGGCTCCGGGTAGACCTGGACCTGGACCTCTACCTGCTGCCGCCGCCCGCCCTGCTCCGGGACGAACTGCGGCCCCCGGGCGGCCCGGCCCGCCCCGCCCACGCACTCAGCCCCTTCCCCACCTCGGGAGGATGGGGGGGCGCCGGCCCCCTGCACCCCAAGGCCCGGGAGCTGGACTTCTTGGGGCCACTCGAGGGCCACCTGCTCTGGGAGGTGCGCGCGCTCGGGGTCCCCTTCATCCCTCGCACCCGGGTGGATGCGTGGCTGGTGCACAGCGTGGCGGACAGGGACGCGGACGGGACCCACGGGCTGCTGGGCGCCACTGCCTCGTCCGCGGGGGGCGTTGGCGCCGGTGTGGACGGCGGCAGCCAGGCAGCGCCTGGGGGCGGCGGGGATCCTTTGGCAGCCGAGGAGGAGGAAGAGAAGGCAGCCGCGGAGCCCACGGCGCAGGTGGCGGTCTCCGGCGGTCGCGCGAGCCAGGTAACCCGAGAGTGGGACGGGCGCGAGTAGGGCGTCGCTGCGCTCGGAAGCCGGGGGAGGGCACGCAGGCGCCGTCCTTCATCCTTATGCTCGGGAAGCTGTAGGGAGACTCTACTCCTTTTTGTGAATCCGAAGGAAGGATGTCAGTGCTATCACTAGTTTTTAGGCTTGCGGGGGCAGGGAAGCTTTTTTTTTTTGTTACTGGGGATCGAACCCAGGGGCGCTGTAACACTGAGCTACATCCTCAACCCTATTTATTTATTTATTTTATCTTTTTATATTTTGAGATAGTGACTCACCGAGTTGCCCGGGCTGGGCTGGAGTATACATCCTCCTATCCCAGCCTCCTGAGTAGCTGGCTGTACACCACTTCCAGTTTCTTTAGGTTTTTGAGAAACAGATGAATGTGTTTGTTGGGTGTAGACAACACCTTTCCTTGTGTTTGGTGGCTGTCAAGAGTGGCTGGGGTGGCGAGGGATGGTTATTACTTTTCTTGCCCGCTCTCTTACAGTTCAGTACCTTGCTGCACTCAGATGCCTTTCCCTGGAACCTGTGTCCTACTGGAGGCTCCGAGGTGGCTTTGGCCTCTTAGAGGAGGCAAGTGCCCATTACACTCCCAGCCCAAGGCCTTCGCTCTGAGTATAACCTAGTTGTAGTCCATCTGTGCTGCTTTCCTGAAGTAAAAAAGCCGAGGTCACCCTCCCCCAAAACATGGGAGATTAGGGAGAAAGGAAAAAGACCATTCAAAGCTATCTCCGAAATGGAGGGGCCTCATTTCACTGCCAATTATCATGTCACTGTGTCCAGGTGTGTGGGTCTTTCATAGTGAGGAACAGCAGAGAGGGACTCAGGTGAGACCATAGACTACTCTAGGTTTGTTTCATCCCTCCCAGGCCTTTTCCTCTCCCTCCCTTCCCTGTGGAAATAACCTGTGCCCTGACCAGTGGTATCTGCATATTCTGTCCTTTCCTCTAGACTGAGTACTGGAAGAGGATAGTGGTTCATACACATTTTAGGAATGAAGAAGTTTGGAGAAGCTGCTTGTCTCTGAAGAAAAATACCCTTTTTGCCCCCGTACTGAGGATTGAACCCCAGACCTCCCATGTGCTAGGAATGTGCTCTACCACTGAGCTAAATCTCCAGCCCTGAAAACATAATTTTTAAAGTTCCATTTTGCCTTACCAGTCATAACATCTACTTCAGGGCCAGCCACTGAAGAGGTTTCACCTCTTAAACCAGAGGGAACTTTGCCACAGGCGACTGTAAGGGTACCTGTTTTGTCTATGATAATACAGGGTTACACAAGTTCCAGGAGGAAGCACAGCTAGGCAGGCGCAAGGAATGTTGGGTTACAGCTTTTTTATTGAAACCAAGTTCACCAAGATCTGAGGATTCAAGTATCTGATGCTTCCCATGCCAAGACCACTGTATTCAGAGTTCCTGTCCCAGGATCTTAGAAAATTCCTCCTTGGCCTAAATAACTGGTATAGATAAACAAGTGTCCCTTGGCTGTTGTTTTTATGAAGTGCACCTTTATGCAAAATGGGAATTGGGGCTAAACTGGTTTGTTTGCAGCTCTTCCGAATTGCCCTGTTTGTGTAGGCAGTTGCCGGACGGGCTTCTCCACCCTTTCCTGGAGGGGTCATTGTGTGAAGTGATGGGTGATTCACTGTTATGCTGATCCCTTCCTCCTCCTGGGGACTGGACCTAAAAGGGGTAGGGGTTAGTGACTGTCGGTGTGGAATGCCTGTCCCCCACCTTTGCTCACTTCCCCCAAGCAGGACCCTGTGGGACCCCTCTCACCTGATGATAGGTACCTGATGTCTTATTACCGTCTCTGTTCTGTAACTTACAAGGTTGAAACATACTGCTAGATGCTGTAATCAGATGGCATCCTGCTGAATGCCAACCTGTTGAAAAGTGTACAGGAAAGGCTGGGAATTTAGCTCAGTGGCACCACGCCTGCCTTGCAAGCACAAGGTCCTGAGTTCAATCCCCTGTACCCAGAAAAAAAAAATGTACTGGAAGCTGAAGGGAGCAAGGCTGTTTGCTCTGAGGATTTCTCAGCATCATCTGGTCGATACCTATTTGGACTGGCAGGGTGGCCTTGGAGAATGCTCTGGGGCCCTGCTGGGCCTGGTCAGGCTTTCCTGGAGGGGACAGTTAAGTTCACTAAGGGCTATTCTAGTGGTGCTCCCCAGGCTGTGCACCACCTGGGATAGCTGCTGGGCTAACTTGGTTTTGTTTAGTCTGGCAGTGATAAGCTGTGGAGCACCATAGAGTTTTCATGGCTCATTCCCCTCTGCTGGTGGTGTCTTTTATCTACATCAACCTTGTGAGGCACACAAAGCAGGCATACATCTAATTTGTACTTAAAGGAAATATGGAGACGCCCACAAGGTTAGGGGACTTGGTTAAAGGCAAATACTAATAAATGCCAGAAGTGGGACTGGATCCTACCTCCTGGACTACCACTTTAACTAAGCAACATGTACTGCACAACCCAGTCTGTCTCCTGGCTTTGGGACAACTGTTCTCTGATGCTGGATTGATTTTTTTTGTTGTTGTTGTTACAGGGGATCAAACTCGACACCTTGCACTTGCTAGGCAGGCAGCGGAACCACTGAGCTAGATCCCCTGCCCTGGATTGATTTTTAAAAAGCAGATTGTATATTCTTATAAAGAAGACTATGATGTTGGGGGGCCGGTGAGTAGGCTAGAAAAACGCCGGTCTTTGAAATTAGAGAGGGCTGGGTCAGTCACTTATGAGTGCTCCCCCTCCCATGGATGACTGGGATCACTCCAAGCCTCGGTGTCTCCTGTGTCCAGTGGAAGAGTGATAGTTTTTTTGGTTTTTTGGTATCAGGGATCGAACTCGGGACCTTGCGCTTGCAAGGCAGGCACCAGAACCACTGAGCTAAATCCCTGGCCAGGAGAGTGATATTTACCTTGGAGGGTGTTGTGCTGGTTAAATGGGGAAGGCATTCCCAAGTGTCAGCACAGCGCCTGGATTATAATGGCTCTTCCTTTGTGCTCCATTCTCAGCCCTTTACCCGGCCCCATTCACTTGTTGGTGTTAATAGGGGTGGGGTGTGTAGGAGTATTGAATCCCAGTTCTTCCACTTACAGCTCTGTGACCTCAAGGAGTTTCTTACCCTTAGTGTGCTTCACTCTTCTCACCTCCACAGTGGGAATAGTAAGGTTAAAATTTCATTCCACATAAATGACTTAGCACTGTGCATGTCATAAGTGCTTAAAAAATGTTAGCTGTTGTTAACTTGGAAGAGAGGGAGTGTGTTGCCCTGGAGAAACATCATAGATGGTATTTTTAAAAAATATAGATAATTCCAGTGGTTTACATTTGAGTTGTAGGAGATTCTAGTTTTGCTGTATAATTTTTGTACACATGCCGAAATATTTTGGAATAGGGGATTTTCCAGGTATCAAAAGAAGTACTGCTTTGGTTTCACTTCTTAATGGAGCTAAACATTATTTGAAAGACTCTGGAATTTCCCAGAGTTGACAAGCCTTTTTTCATAGGCACAGCCATTCACTTCAAACCCACAAAACACATGTCCTTCAAAGTGATGCAGGGGTCAAACCAAGAAACAAACAGTTCGGTAGAAGTGAATGTATGAACATGTTTGAGGATGGGTGGCTGCGTACAGCCAGCATCAGTTTTCAGAGCTGTTGCCACTTTGAAACTGAGAGGGTTTGTGATCATCTTGATGTGGTTTCATGCCCAGTGACACCGACCCTCTGCTGGGTGAGAGGTCTCATAAGACCTCTTGATTTACTGCCTGTTGTGCTAGTTTCTTCAGGTCACAGAAAGAATCCGATACAATAAATATTTAATTTTTACTTAGCTATTTTTGTGGTACTGGGAATTGAACCTAGGGCCTTTCAACTGAGCTCTACATCTCCAGCAGTTTGCATTTTGAGACAAGTCTCGCTAAGTCACCAAGTTGCCCAACCTAGGCTTGAACTTGGATATTTGTATTGGCCTCCCACAATGCTATAGAGGTGTGTACCATCACACCTGGATTCAGTATTTAATTCTAAGAGTAATGGGAAAAGAAAGAAGGTCCTTGGATTTTTTTTCCTTTTTTTATTACATTTTATTAGTGCATGCAAATATTATATGGTGAAGATATTTATTTTGGGAACCTGCCACATGCACTAAAATGGTATAATTTGTTTTGTTTTTGTTTTTCAGTGCAAAGATTGAGCCCAGGGTCTTGCACATGCTAGGCAAGTGATCTGCCACTGAGATACACCCTGGTACCCCTTGACTGTTAAAAGTAAAAAAAAAAATTTTTTGTTTTAAAAATCAAAGATAATCTCTAATGCCTGGGCAATTGGACAGAGATGAATTTTTCTATCCAAATTCAGAGATGAGAAACAGACACTTGCCTGTTTTTAACTCACAAATTAATACAAAAAAATAGTCTTATGATTACATATATCGCAGTATAGCAAAAATGTCGCAGTAAGTCTTTCACTTTGCTTACAAAAGGACATTGTAAAGATGTACTTATGGTGTTCGTATGGGAAAAGATGCCATAAAAGCCACTGATACAAAATGCCACAGATTAGGTGGCTTAAACAGAAATTGACTGTTACAGTAGGGGCAAGAAATCCAAAATCAAAGTGTCTACAGGGTTGGTTCCTTCAAGAACTGTGAGGGACAATGTGTTCATAACAGTCTCCCGCCCTTTGGTAGTTTGCTGTCAGTCTTCGGCAGTCTTTGGCCTTTGCTACATTATGCAGTGCCTGCCTTCATCTTCATGAGGTGGCCTCTCCATATGCTGTGTGTCCAAGTTTCCCTTGTGAAAATATCAGTCGTGCTAGACTGATGTGCTTTTAACTTACCTAATTACATCTGCAGTGACCCAGGTTCCAAATAAGATTTGGGGTTAGGACTTGAATATATGAGTTTTTGAGGGACACAGTTCAGCCCATAATACCATCATCCTCCTGTCATCTCTTGCTTCAGCTCC